AAGTCACCGGTGTAGCTCAACTCCAACACCCACTAGCTGCAGGGCACTGATCAGTTACCCCCAGTAGCCTTTGTGTCTGTCATCGGATTATAGTATCTTCTCTGCAGAGTTATAGTGAGTATGAAATACGTGAATAAGTGGCTTCTCAAGACTTCTTGGCACACAGACATTAATTTACTATTACATACAGAATATATCACAGGATTCATTCAGAGTGAAATATGGGAGCAAAACATACAAAAATTATAAATAAGTTATAGATTATATTTTTATGGAAAAGTTCATTTCATTATAGTGCATATACAGTTATATAACTGCAAAGAAAATATTAAATTCTTAATTGGAAAAATCGGATTTCTACCAAAGTATTTAATTAGTTTAATTAATTAATTTAATTTCTACCAAAATAGTTAATTTAGTTCTCAAGTTGTATAGAAATTCCATTAAAACAAAAGTAAACTTTAACCATTTATTATTTTCTAAGTCAATTACCATGAATTTACTTTTTTGCAAAGCATTCTTGCTAAACAAGTTAAATGTGCCAGCAAATTCTTTTCCAGTTTGACTTAGAATTAGGGAAGGGGTGTAATGACCCTACAAAGACAAATGATCCAATACCATGTGATCTGAAATTCATAGGGTTCTGGTAACCCAAACATTATTGGAAACATCTCTAAGCTAAAAACAAGGAGAGAAGGCCTGGATTTGTCACCATTTGCCTCAGGGCCCATATGAGACTTTACTTGTCAGTCCTTCAGTTACTTCATATTCAAATCTGAAAATTCATAGTGCTCACTACAGTGCTTTCCAAGCCCATCGAACTCTTGTGGGCATGTCATTGATTAATACAAAACAGTTAGAGCTTAGTTTAGTGAGCTGTGTGATTTTTTTAATAGGATGGTAAAGACTAGCCTACAGGCAAATCCTGTAAGATGTTCAGCATATACGCCTACCTTCCTGTTGGCACAGCCTCTGATTGGCAGCTGTATTCCATTCTTTGCAGGAACAAATAGGTGCTTCATTGTGTTTCAGAAGTCAGTGCATTCATACAAAACAAAGTAATTGACATTTTTCTCATTTCTGAGATCAAATTTTCACAAATCAGTCAACCTGGATAAGCTGAGAATGTGGTTGATGCACTAATTGTTGAAATATAGTAGGGACATTGCAAAATGTGATACTCAAGTACTTCCTCCTAACCTCTTACCTTAGCAAGATGTCCTAATTTATAAAGAAGAAAGAAGAGTAAAACAAGTTTATCTGTGAAGGGGAAGCCAAGAAGTACAGCATAGATCTGTGTGAGCAGTTTATACGCATAATGAGTCTGCTGTAGAGTAATAGTAAAAACGGTATGTGGTAGAACTTTTATTTTTAAAGGAACTTTTTTATTTTTAAATTTTTAATTTTATTTATTAAAATTTTAATTTTATTTTTAATATAAATTTTATGTATTACAATTTATTCACTTTGGATCCCAGCTATAGTCCCACCCTTGTTCCCTCCCAACCCTGCCCTCCCTCCCTCTCTCATCTCCTCCCATGCCCCTTCCCCAGTCCACTGATAGTGGAGGACCTCCTCCCCTTCCATCTGACCCTAGACTATCAAGTCTCATCAAGGACTATCTTTCATAGTCTTCCTCTGTGGCCTGGACAGGTTGCTCCCCCCTCAGTGGGAGGTGATCAAAGAGCCAGCCACTGAGTTTATGTCAGAGACAGCCCCTGCTCCTCTTATTAGGGAGCCCATTTGGAGATTGAGCTGCCATGGGCTACTTCTGTGCAGGGAGTCCAGGTTATCTCCATGAATGGTCCTTGGTTGGAGTATCAGTCTCAAAAAAAAGACCCCTGTGCTCAGATTTTTTGGTTCTGTTGTTCTCCTTGTGTTGTTCCTGTCCTCTCCAGGTCTTTCTATCTTCCCCTTCTTTCATAAGATTCCTAGCACTCTGCCCAAAGTTTGGCTATGAGTCTCAGCATCCACTTTAATACCCTGCTGGATAGAGTCTTTCAGAGGCCCTCTCTGGAAGGCTCCTCTCTGTTCTTATTTTCACCTTTTCCAGATGTCTATCCCATTTGCCTTTCTGAATAAAGATTGAGCATTACCGAGGGTCTCCTTGCTTAGTTTTTTTTTTAATTTTTCTTTTTATTAATTACAATTTATTCACTTTATATCCCCCCTGTAGCTCCCTCCCTCTTCTCCATCCAATCCCACCCTCCTTTTCCCTTCTCTACTCATGTCCCTCCCCAAGCCCACTGATAGGGGAGGTCTTCCTCTTCTCCCTTCTGATCCTACTCTACCAGGTCTCATCAGGAGTGTCTGCATTGTCTTCCTCTGTAGCCTGGTAAGGCTGCTCCCCCCTCATGGGGAGGTGGCCAAAGAATGGGCCAGTCAGTTCATGTCAGAGACAGTCCCTGTTCTCATTACTATGGAACCCACTTTTACACTGAACTGCTATGCACTACTTCTGTGCAGGGGTTCTAGGTTTTCTCCATGAATGGTCCTTGGTTGGAGTATCAGTCTTAGAAAAGACCTCTGTGCCCAGATTTTTTGGTTCTATTGCTCTCCTTGTGGGACTCCTGTTCTCTCCAGGTCTTTCTAGCTCCCCCTTCTTTCATAAGATTTCCTGCACTCCGCCCAAAGTTTGGCTATAAGCCTCAGCATCTGCTCAATACCCTGCAGGGTAGAGCCTTTCAGAGGCCCTCTGTAATAGGCTCTTGTCCTGTTCCCTGTTTTCTCCCTCTTCTGATGTCTATCCTCTTTGCCTTTCTGAATGGGGATTGAGCAACTTAGCCAGAGTCCTCCTTGATTAGTGTGTCTTTAGGTGTACAGATTTTAGTATGGTTATCCTATATCATATATCTAATATCCACTTATGAGTGAGTATATATAGCCTGTATGTCTTTCTGCTTCTGGGATACCTCACTTAGGATGATCTTTTCCAGTTCCCACCATTTGCCTTCAAACTTCATGATTTGATTGTTTTTTATTGCTGAGTAATATTCTATTGTGTATATGTACCACAATTTCTGTATCTATTCCTCAACTGAGGGGCATCTGGGTTGTTTCTAGCTTCTGACTATTACAAATAAAGCTGCTACAAACATGGTTGAACAAATGTCCTTGTTGTGTACTTGAGCATATTTTGCATATTATGGTTTATGTTAATAATGGGTTGAAATATAAATGGTTTGGTAAGGTTTCTCCTAGGAATCTTTGTTAAAATTTGGTTCAAGGCCTGAGGCTGTAGTTCAGAGGTATAGCAGGTGCCCAGCATGCATGAGACCCTGGATTTTACCCTAACATGGCCCAAAGAGAAGCTAATATAAGTTATACCTGGATTTTAACAATAAACTTTTAATATTTTTAATTCCTAATAAATTTTGTATAACTCTTTTACAATTCAAGTTAATAAAACTTTCCCTTAAAAGATTTATGTAGTCCCATCGATCATAATCCTGAGAGTTTATCATGTACATCTACTTCACTGCTTAGCAGTGCTCAAAGAATACAGGCTGTGAATGCAATGAGTTTTTCCATGAACTTTCTAATTCAAGTATTTGTACCCCAAGACTGTTTTCAGTGACTCCATTACCCAAGTATAATTCATACAGCTGAAAAACATATCAATAGACTTGGTAAAGATTTATGCAAGGTGTGGTGCATGCCTTTAATCCCAGCACCTGGGAGGCAGAGGCGTCAGATCTCTGAGTTTGAGGTTAGTCTAGTCTGCAAAGCAAGTTCCAGGACAGCCAAGGCTACACAAAGAAACCCTGTCTCAAAACACACACATACACACACAAATATATATTTCTATATACATGTATAGGCATATATATGTGTATGTATTTCGTGTGAGATATTGCTCCATTCTTAAAGCAAGACTCCAAAGGTTCTGAGTGTTTGTTTTCTGATCATCACTGATTACAGAATTCTTTCTCTGTGCATTCATCCAATACAGATGCTGAAGGTAGTTTCCAAAGCTGTATGTTGTTGAATTGTCCATCCCTACTGCACTCTTAAATAGGCTTTAGTGTCTTGCTCTGTGCTTTGTTTATTTGTGGAGGACCGTATAACTGAGGCAAACTAGAGCAGAGAAGGCTCTGCTGTTCACTAGTCTTTGTGGAGGGACCACAGGACCATTGGTTTTATTTATTTAAAAAAAGGTATTTCTATATATAACATTAGAACAGAGTTCTTGTTCTTCTAGTAAAAATGTATAAATATAAAGAAAGAAAAGAACGAACTGAACTACTGTTCTGACTCTGTGATCTTCTGTTAAGCCGAGCTAGCTGGTCCGCATGATGTGCTTTTTCTCCGTACAGTAGCCAAACAGCATTTCAGAATGGACTTCTGAACTTTAGGTGGTTGTCAGCTTAGTTCATTGATTTTTAATGAACTTTTACAAAAATAATTTTTCTCCAACAAAAAAAGCATGTATCTAGGTAGCCTGTAGTGCCCAGAATAGGAACGTTTTAACAAATAAAGCACTGGAAGTTTGGTTGATAATTGTCAAAGCTTGGGTGTTTTATGCTACTAAATAAAATGTTAATTTTTTTCTGTCTTTATTTTAATTAGCTGACTGAAAAAGAAAGGGATTTGCTATGTGCAAGAGCACATCTAAGGTTGCTTTTTGTCTATATTAGAAGAGATTTCTCTTACAAAAATCTGCTTGAGGCTCCTCTTTGCTTGGTATGCCATCTTGTCTTTACACGGTAGATAATTCATTCACAGCTTTTATGCAAGTAGCTAAATGTATTCAAATGAGTGGTGTGTATATTCTGTGTAACACCTAACTAAACATAATCAAGGATCTGAGTTAAAATTTATGCTGTACTGTTTTTAACCCCAAAACACTCCATGTGACTCTCACAGTAATGCTCTGTTATTTAACATGACTACCAGTATTGCTTGGTTACAAGCACAAACTGATTTTTGCAGCCAGAATATTCTTGATAATAATTGCACTCTTCTTTTTTTCTTTTTCTCTTTCCCCTGCCCCTACTTAGGTTAGAAAGGCTGGTGGATGTCCTGAGGAAGAAGGTTGGATCAGGGACTGTGAGGACAGTGATCTGACTGAAAAACACCCCGTGTGGGGGAAGCACTCACATCTGGTGACCAGGCTGCCTCATTCAACGCTGTGCAAACACTGAAAGCCTTAACTTAGCAAACAGTTGTCAGAAGTGGGACACTCCAACCACATTCCAAGCTGCGATAAAATCAGATCACAAATGTTTAACCACTTTGCTGCTGACTTCAGTTATTTATCCAAATATATTAACTACAGCTTTTACCAACTATAAGTTACAGCTTATTTTGTAACTATTTTATATTTGTGCCTTTAATGTAAATCTTTCAGCCAGTGTACTATAAAAACGTGTGAAGTCAGTCAGGATCATACCCTCGCATATGGCCCTTTTCTGAATCAAAGTGCAGCAAAGTAAATATTGTCCAAGCCTTAATCCACTGTGTTAGGTCAAAACTTCAAATAAATGCATTTTCAGTATAGAGTATATTTCTTAACTGATGGGAGAAGCTCAGACATGAGAGAATGTAGCCTACATTCAATGTATGTATGCAGCTTTTATTCTTAATGTTGAATATAGTATAGAACTCATGAATTGAATGTATGATTTGCTTTAACAGTGCATTAAGATGGCAGTCACCAAGGCATGACTTTTGTTTCACTATAAATAATATATTCTGCTTTTAATTAAAAAGGTTATTAATGTGCACTTATGCATAAATATTATTGGTATTTTGTAATGTTGAGTCCAGGTAATTATCTAAGCATCACCTATGCTGTCCCACTCATGGTCTGGGACACTTTTGGATTGTAAATTAGTATGTGCCAGTCATCTTGTCTCTATTCTGAAAGGCAAGAAGACATCAAACCTATTAGCATTCTTATTATCTTTTAGATTATGTTTTTTGCTGTGGTAGAAGAGAATCTAATATATAATATACAAATAAATTCTGAATATAAGGACCTAGAGAAAAGCATTCTTGAAATTTGGTTCAAAATATCCACTTTTGAATTTATTTAAAACATAACTTAAAATAATGAACATGGAAACCACTTCTCACCATATGATGTTATGAGTATTTATGGAAAATATTGTCGGTTTTACAGATTGGATAGCTGAAATGCCATACCTGGAAAGGGATGAGATGAACAAAGAATACTGAGTTATTGAAAATTTTATAGGCAAAACTTTTCTAAGTTCCTAGTTCAACTATAAGATTAAGCCAAATTATTTATCATTGCCTGTTTTCAGGCTAAATATATTCAGAATGATAGACTATATCATTCTTTCCTATCCCACTGGAAATATCTTTTTTATTCTCTTTGAACTCTGTAGAATATTTTGAGGTCCCTTATCATCATGAAATATGACTCAGAACATTAATACATCCTTGTTACTAAATCTGTAAAATGAAGTTAACTGGTAATTAATCATGTCATTGGATTCAAGTTTGAAATTTATTCACATTGCATGTTCTTAGTGATGTAAAACTATGAGAATTAGAAGATGACAGCAAATGTTAAAAATAAACCAACTGCGCTTGTCTTACCGTCACATAGAGGGTCGTAGCCTCTGGTAAACCACAGACACTTACTGTTGGAAGCCAGTGCTTTAAGTTGCTTGTTGTCTGGCTCTATAACAGGCCCCTGTGTGAAGACGTGGCATCTTAAAGTCACCCAGGGGTACAGGTAAGTAAAATATCCATTCCTGGATGTTCTTCATAGAGTCACAAGGAAAACTGAATTTTCACCTTAGTCTTGAGAAACAGTTTCCTTGAGTTATTTTCTCTGAAGTCTTGGAACACAGAGTGCAAATAAAAACATTTTACAACTTCCAAACGTCACTTAGAGCAACCGGTTCCTGTACAGCTGTACAAAACAGGATATTATAAAATGAAACTCATAAAACAATTCTAACATCTACCATGTTTCAATATAGGTGCCCCAAAGAATTAAAAAATGGCCCAGGCAACTTTTGTATTGATTTCTTACACTTAAAAATGCCTACCAACACTTTTTCAAGTAATCACTATGTGAAGGAATACCCAGAATCACAGAAAATCACTTTGCTACTTATTAAAAAGCAATGCAGCTGCTGAAGAATTCCACTCTGTGTTTCCTTCAGTTTGCCTTAAATGTTTCCAAGTCTACTATCGTAGCGTGAGCGTTCACTTCTGAAACAATAAGCAAGTCCTTTAAAGACGAGATTACCGTTGGTAACACGTGATCTGCAAAATCATTTCACATCTTTTTTATTTGACTCTGCCAACAGCGTCATGATAATTGCTATATAGATTTTAGTATTGACTTTATTGTTTTTGTGGCCATTGCTAACTACATTGATTCTGATAAGAAAACAAACCTCCTCGAAGTCTGACATCTTACAACTAAACCCCACTAAATCGTAGGTCTCTAGGCCTGACTGTAAGAAAAAGAAAAGTATAGCAAATATTTTTCTTTTTCATTTTTCAAATATTTTTATTGAATTTTTTTTAGTATTTCCTACAATGTATTTTAGTCATATTTACCCCTAACTCCTCCCGTTACCTCCTCCCAAGTCCTCCCTTATATCCCCAATGGCTCCAACTTTGAATCCTTTTTTTTTTTTTAATTTAATAACCTAGCAACCTCAGTCTGTGCTGTCCATATAATTATTGGTGTGGGGCCATCCACTGGAGCATAAAAAGATTTTTATGTCTGCTGCTGCAGAGATGTCTTAGTGGTCAGGTCATTTACTGTTCTTAAAGAAACCAGGTTCAGTTCCCAGAACTCAAGTCAGGTAGCTCATAGCTGCATATCACTCTGGTCCAGGGGATCCCACACTCTCTGACCCCCATATGCACCTGTATTCACACAAGACACACAAAACTCAAGTAGGTATAAACACAAACATATTTTTTAAAAATAGGGCAGTAATTAAAAGCAACATCTTAAAGATGCATTTTTAAGTTCTGTAATGTTTGCTATTCTTGCTCCATTTCCTCTAGTAACCCAAAGATTATATACATCTCTTTCCGTGCAGTTCAATGGGAACTACACACACACAAATAGTTGATTTTTTGTCACTGCTGTGTACTGTGTGGCAGCATGTGCTTTGCCTCAGCCTTCACGAAAATGAAGGCAGGGGGTATTAAACTATTTTAATTTGTTCTGTGGATAAAACCCAACACTGCAGTGTTACAAAGTGGCAAAGCATATTTCCAACACACTGTGCTTCCTACAACACAGACTTGATAAAACCAGTTGCAGGCAAAGCGGTGGGTGACAAGCAACACAGGCACACTACAACAGAACTGATGAGTAATATATAATAAGTTAGGTTTGATGAATAAACCATTATGTTTTAGAGCAATTAAAACAATAAAAATATTTTTAAATAAATATTTTAAGCTCCTATTTTGTGTGTTTCCTTATCCAAATAAACTGAAGAATCTTATTGGGTAACACACTAATAAAATTTGTTTATGTCACAAAAAAGGTAAAAAAAGATTTATAGCTTTAATATTAAAAGAATCACATAGTTTTTTGCTTGTAGTTTTTTGGGGGTTTTAATAACTTCTTGAAGTTTCTATCTTCAAATGGTGATTATACATAAGGCATTAAAAGATGAAATGACCATGACAGATGTTCATTTGTCTTGACATAGTTTGTGTAGTGCACAGACTTTTCACATATATTAATGTGTTCTTAGTAACCCATTTACAGCTAACCTCTGTATTTGTTTATTGATATATAGCCACAAATAGATACAAGAGCACATCAGCCTCTTTAAAATGATCTGTAAGTCAGTTGTTAGGCCACAGCAAGGTCAGCATTTTGTGCATGTTTTCTTAGAGTGCATATGGTTTCTGGGGCTTTTAAACAAATACATGAAATGGTTGGAAGGTTTATATTGCCCATGCTTAGCTAAATATGTCATCTCTAGAAAAGATGTGATTTATTTTGGCACTGTTCTAAAACTCAAATATTTTAAACATTTGTTAAGTTGGAGCTTGCACATTTGAACTAGTAGTGTACGTTCCAAAGTAGCATCTCAAGTTACTGAAGTTTTTGTAATCCTTTCACTGAAAAAAGCCCTTACTGAAAAGCTTTTCTCTTTCACTGTGTTCTTTAGTACGAGTTTAAATTTGTAATGGTTAAAGTTGTTTTTAATGCAGGTCTTCACAAATTGAATTTGACAATAATAAATGTGTGTTTGTAAAAATCATTAAGATGATTTCACTAATGAGAATCTTTTGCAGAAGCCTTACTGTGCTTTGTCTTGATTTTGTTGATTTCTAATGTATTTTTAGAATGTGCTGGCACTCTAAAGTCACTAGCTTAACTATCCAATTATTAACAAGGATATATTTTAATACACTGTCTCAAATATTTAAAATGTGCATTTACTTTTCAGTCACATAAAATCGCCTATCTCAAATTCTACATGTTTTAATACAGTTCCTACACATTGATCCTTATCAAATTTATAAGTGTCCAATCCTGAAGACATGGCACTTGTTGTGCATTATGAATTATATTATAGTGAAGATCAGGTTGCTATCAAACTATTATTTCCTTAATAAAGATAAAAGTTGATATGAGCAAACACATTAGGTACCCTACAAGCCTCTCAGAACTATGTGGATCTGAACTGAAGTTCCTCCTCAGTCAGAGTCTCTGGAGCTGCAGCATGAGCTGGGCTCCATGATGCCTAAGATCCAGGACAGTCCTCTTCCACCAGGTTGGTGGTTCCCAGCAATTCTTCTATGGGCCACAGTTTTGCTCTTGAGCTGTACATGCCAAGTGTCTCTTTTTGTTCATTGTGTGGCATTTTGTACTTTTCTTTTGGAAAAATCTGCAGTCACTGTATATGCATTTTTATGTTTCCTGAAATTTTTCTTTTACCGTTTCTGCTACAAAATATGGCAATGGAGATGGAAGGCACATTTGCTAGGGATGCCACCAGCCTATAAGAGTCACCAGAGCACTCAGGAGGAAAAAATATTCAGATAAGCTATGGTAATATAATATTACAAAATATTATTTTCATAAGATGGGGGAAAGAGCCTAATCTCATTAAGTAGATCTATTTTTAACTGTCTGAACAACAATCACACTGATTTCCATTCTGGCTGCACTAGTTTGCACTCCCACCGGCAGTGAACAAATGTTCCCACTGTCGAATATCCATGCCAGCATTTGTCATCATTTGTTTTTTGTTTGACTTTTGGTTTTGTCTTGGTTTGGGGGGTTTTGGTTTGGTTTGGAAGGTTGTTTTTTGTTTGTTTGTTTGTTTTTATAGACTAAGTTTTAATTAATTCTTACAAGTATAGAAACAATCTTTGTAAATATGTCCTTTTACTTTGTAGTGGCTTGAATGCAAAATATCCTCATATTCTCAGGCCTTTGAACACATGGTCCTCAGTTATTAGCAGCGTTTGGAGAGGTTTAGATGATATAGCCTTAATAAAGAACAAACATCAATGGGCATGGGCTTTGAGATTAAAAGTCTCACAGGGGGTTGTTTTTTTTTTTTTGTTTTTTTTTTTTTTTTTTTTTTTTGGTTTGTTTGTTTGTTTGGTTGGTTGGTTGGGCTTTGGTTGGTTGGGTTTTGGGGTGTTTTTTTTTCCATTATAAATAAAGTAAGTTGAAATCTCAAAGAAATTTTTAATTTATTTTTTTGTTGTTGTTGTTGGTTGGTTTGTTTGTTTTTGAGAAAGGATTTCCCTGTATAGATTTGCCTGCCTCTGCCTCCCAGAGTGCTGGGATTACAAGCCTGTGACACCACACCCAGGAATTTGTATTTTCTTGATGGATAATGATGTTGAATTTTTTTACAATGTATTTCATCTTTTACAAACTCTCAGTTTCTTATGAATATACCTAAAGGACTGCATATTCTACTATAGAGATAGCTGCTCATCCATGTTCATTGCTGCTGTATTCACAATAGCCAAGAAATAAAAACACCCTAGATGTCCATCAGCTGCTGTATGGGTAATTAAAATATAGTACATTGACTCAATAGAATATTATCCAACTGAAAAGGAAGATATAATAAAATTTGGTAACAGCAGTTCTGAACGAGGTAACCCAGATCCAGGAAGACAATTACCACATGGATTTGCAGATGACAGCTTTGAACCTTCAGATAAGTTTCATCTGGAATACTCACAAAGGTTAGTAAGTTAATATGGGGCCACGAGGAGGTGTTTTTCAAGGGAGGAGAGATAGAAATTGGTGCTATCAAGGCTTAAAGAGGAATAATTGAGCAGGAGGGACTAAACTGGGGTTAGGGTGGAAGACGGGAAAGCAGGTAATACAGGAAAGGAAAACACTAAGTTCAAAAAGATCATGTGGAAATCTACTGTAGAAACTTCCTAAAATTACATATAGAGTGAAGGGGGAAGGGAGGGAGAGAGAGATAGTTCAAATGGAGTTACCATGCAACAGAACAATGAGGTCCCTACTTGTATATTGTAGGCTAACAAATAAGACCAGTTCTTCCTCTCTTGGAGTTGTTGGCCAGTGAGATCCTGTAGACACTACCCCAAAACAGTATAGACTATTGCAAGTGCTCTTGATTATCCTTAAGAACTTCGTTGAAAGATTCTGTTGCTAAAGATACCACATACTTGAGTCATAGAACATGAAGAAATCAAGCTGGTACTGACATGAAGTTTCATCCCACTGACTAGCTTTCACAGTGCTAGAGGGTGATATGCAAACTACTGGAAAAGAAAAGTGATCATCAGCCTTATCCAGATGTGAACCCCTAGTGGTATAATACCAAACAGCCTAGCAACACATGCCCACTATGTAGTAATGGCACAACTGTCATGGGAATAACCAACCGTCTCTGGATTTAAGGCCTACTCCATAACATGAAATCTATAACTGGAACCATTATCTCTCCCAACAATCTGTGGCTACCCAGGTCATAGTCTGTAGGCAAGAGCCTGCTACTATTACTCTGCTAAATGAACACAGTATTAAAATGACTCCTAATGACTTATCATTAGACCCATAGATCATTGCATCTCTCATCCCTCACCAGAGAAACTTTCTTTTTTACAATACTTGGCAGTTAACACAAAGACTCACAGTTGCTCAAGAAAATAAAAGACTGCAACATGTTCTGTCTTAAATGAGACATGTGTTACACACTTCCTCCCAAGGCTGGGGATTGTTACAGAAGAGAGACCATACAGATTGTAAGAGCCAGACATAGTGGATGGCTTACAAGGAAACAGTATTTTCCAGACGCAGTGTGGCAGTTGCACATAAGAAATCCCCGTGGTTACAATAGTGTAAACAAGACCTGTGCGAGCTAAACCAGATTTTTTTTTATCCCAGCATGGAGATGGAGGGGCTCTCTTTTATCCAGTGTGTATTTTTGTTTGCATCAAAGATAAAATACAAGTGGCCAATAAACACAAAGAAAATGTTCATCTTCACGAGCCATCAGAGAAATTAAAATTAAAGCTATGTAGAGATTCCATGTTACCCCAGTCAAAAGGGCAGTCATTAGGGGGAAAATAATGGGTTTGGGCAGATGGCTCAAAAAGTAAAGTGTGCACCTGCAAGCATAAGGACTGAGTTCAGAAGTCCATCCTAGAGTACAGCTGAAGTGATGTGGACACAGGAAGATACTTGGGCATTCTCTGTCAGTCTAGCCAAAGCAATGATCTGCAACTTCAGTGCAAACCTCGACTCAGTAAAAATAAGTTCAAAGTAGAGAAATGAGTGAGTCAGATGGTTTCATGTTAGCCTCTGGCCTTCCCACATGACTCTAGTGGTGAGTACTCATGCAAATATATGCACACAAGCAAGGGAGTAGGGTATAGGAGTCAAGAAAACAAATCCTGGTGAGGGTGTGGACACCGGGGTGGCAGTATAAACTAGTCCAGCCACTGTGGAACTCAGAATGGGGGCTTCTCCAAATACATCTTCCATATGATCCGGCTCTATTGCTTCTGCTCATTTACCCAAAGACTTCAAGCCAGCATATCACAGACAGTTGCACATCAGTGTTTACTGAAGCACTCTTTATAATGGTTGAGCTATGAAAGCACCATTGGATAAGGAATAGATAAGGGAAATGGGGCATACATGCACAGTGGAATTTTTCAGCCATAAAGAATGAGTTATGTCATTTGAAGGAAACTGGCTGCAACTGGAGATGACTGGTGAGTTAAGGCAATCTCAGAGACAAATTATTGAATTTATAGTTCCTAGGTTTTATATAGACATGAAATCATGTGAGTGTGTGTGACATGAAAATGGAGAATCTGTCTGAGGGAAACAATGGGAAATGAAGGGGTAAGAAAGAGGATGGTGAGAGTGCAGCGAATATTCACAACATTCAATATATCATTGGCTGCTCAGTCTCCAGGTGGGTTCCCTAGAAGG